GGACCCCTGTGTCTAATTGGATAACATGAATTTAATTTTATTTCATTTAATTCGGGCGCAGCATCTCCGGCCGGAGAACCCAAGAACCCAGCGTACAAGCAACCGAAATTTTTATGGCGACTGGCCAATGAACTTCCCTCTCACCATAATTCTCGTTTCTTTCGTCGGACATATTGCATGTGAATTTGTCCAAGACGATTATATATTTTGTGGTAGGTTTATTGTTGTCCGAATCTAAAATTTGGTCCGACTCTGGGACCGGGAACACATAATGAAGCCATAAGCCGCCATTTCGGCCATAAACCCATTTGAATATTAATTTTGTTAATTAACTTATTCAAATTCGGGAATCGTTAAAAATGGAAGAAATTCTTTTTATTGCTATGTCTCTATTTCTTAAAAAAAAAAAACAAGCGACAGGCCAGGAGAGAGGCGAACCCAATGAAAGGCTTTATTGTTGGCGACAAAATTACAAATTATTCACGTTAATTGTGACACCCACTGAACCGATCTTCCCACGATAATGAAATTTGGGAATCGGTCTTTGGAATACGTCATTGTGAATTTTTTTTTTTGGTTTTTATGTTTGATCGTCTCTAATGAAGGCAATATTGTTCTATTAAAAAATAATTATTTGAAAGACTTGTGCTCAGCACGAAAAACATTGCTCAGAGCTAAAAATATCAGAACAATTTCTAATGCACTGAGAATTATTCTGAGATGCATTATTAAAAAATTATACCCAATAAGAAAAAAACGAAAACATTGAAAAACTATACATAAATTCAGATAAATAAAACCAAATTTTAGTCTATACAATATATATATATTTATCAGTTGCTACTCATTTTTAAATTAACTGAAGTTGAAAAATGCCTTAAAGCTATCAGTTTCTTCTTAGAGTTGTTTTATACTATAGTGCTCAAATGAAATAAAGAAATCATCGCATCGATCATCGCGTTTGTTTCTGTGTGAAAGGAAAATTCATAAAAACCATAAACAGTCGAGCATCTTCATACCGAACAAATCGTTCGCGTTTCCCATTTCCCTTTTTCCCCCGCCCAGAAGGAACTGCAGTCAAATGATTTTACGAGAGAGCTGAGTGCGATCAAAGCGAAAGCGAAACTCTTGAGGGACATGGACACATGGGGCAAGTTCCTCCGGAATGGAGTGGAGTGCAGTTGGGCATGAAAGTACAGACCGTCGAAGGGCAGGAGTTGACTTTGACCCTGAGTATCTGTGAGTGTTGCACAATGCAAATGCGAAACGAGAAACAAATTTTACGACGTGTTTGACGGCTGTCTGTCGCTGCTGTCTGCGCGTCTCCTTGTCTTACTGACTCTGTCTCTGACTTTGACTTCGACTTCGACTTATTTTCACTTCCATTCCCTTTCCCTTTTCCGGACCCGGCGCTCACTTCCGCATCGACTTGAGCCCTGTCCCTGCGGGAAATCGCGGCATCCTTCATCCTGCGTCCTGTTTCCACTGCCCTCGTCCCTGGTTGGCTGCCAGTTTAGCCCGCATTGTTACCTGCGCGGTGTCAAATGCAAACAAGACGTTTGCGCCGGCCATAAAGACGGCTTCTTCTGCCCTTCCTCCGATTTTTTTTAGGACAGCGAAAATGGCCAGCTATGATGAGTGGCGCCTCGTTGCAGCATGCCCTTATTGATGGTGGCTTGCAGTGGCTTACTTTCTAACTTTTTCCGTATCTTCTTTGCAGTACTTGGAACCGAGGAGTCCGGTGGAGTAGATCCATCCCAAATTCAGCAGCGGTTGCCCCACCGAGCACCGCCCCAGCAACAACACTCAGCGGTGGCGTCCGGCCAAAACCAACACGTTGCGCCGACAGCGGCGAGCATTTCTCCCTCCAGCGTCAGTTCCCATCCTCCAGGTAAGATATTAGACCGCTTAATCCGTGAATAATCAGAGAAGTATTAAAGGCCGTCAGATTAAAGCCCTAAAATTAATATTTCGGGAAATATTTTAAAAGATTAAAAAACAAATGGCTTTGATCTGAAAATTTTTTTAAGCCAAATAGTGTTATTCAGAAAGGAAATAAATTAGGATCCATTAGGAAGACGCTAAATAGGAAGGGCTCTTAAATATAGATTTACTTTCAAAAGCATAATGGCTGTTTTGTAACATAAAAAACCAAAAAAATTATTATTTATTAAAAAATGTTGTCTAGTCATTAAATTGTGTAAAATTAAAATAGTTTTAACAACATTAAATTTGATTTTTAAGTATTTTTTTTAAGAAAGCTGAAGATCTTTATTGAATACTGATAATGGATTGTATTATGTTTTTAAAGAAAATGTTACTACATGTATAAATTATGTTCATTTCTATATACATATATATGATTTTATACAAAAGCTTAAGTGAATTTTGATTGGATGGATTACTTCATTGGTTTTAAGAATTATACTTATAATTATTATGAAGGACTTGGAAAAAATAAAAGGATATTTACCTCTGTATCAATTTACTTTTAACAAGTCCTTTATTCTTAAAGTCTTTGCAAGCTATCAAAATATTTTAATAAAATTGATGCTGTTTGATATACAAAATGAAAGTGCTCGCATCTATTCGAATGTAAGAAATAATAATATTCAACTTGAGATTATTTGAGTTTCGTCATTTTCTCTAACCCTTGCATAAATGTATTATTGCAATTGTTGAAGTTGGATTTTTATTGTACGGATTGTACAAACGTTCTGATGTCAAACGGGTTGAGAGTTGCCCTCGTCTCATCCTTTTTACGATTTGTTAACATTTCGTTGCCCTCGACTCAGTGCCTTTCCTTTTCTTCCAATGGCAATGGCCATAAAATTCCCATAATTGTCCATTGCAGCGTTAAATTTGGCAACTGCCGCTTGAAGCGGGAAAGGAAATCCGTAGAAGCGCTTCGAGGGAGAAAGGGAATAGAGATAGAGCCAGGGCTAGGGGTGAACACAAAGACCCGGGGTTTCTTAACAATTGTGCTGTCATAATTTACTGACTGAGCTGGCGCACGCATGTATTTGTTTAGCTAATTAACATTAATTAGTCACTTTCTTTTGATGACTCGAATAATTTGTTTGGATCCTTGGTCTTGACAAATTAAATTTATTCGGATGTTGCTGCTGTGTCAATCGATAAAAAAGCGCCAACTAACTACACACAATGTCGTGCGACCTACCACGCCCCCCGCCCCCATCCCACCGAAATCTCGGCCATAGATGGCGCTGTGGTGCGCGCGTGTTAAGTATTCAAATCAGCCCCCAAAAACGGGCAATAAGAGCGGCGGGCGGTGAGTCAGAGAGCGCTTTCCGAAGAGCGAAGGCCTTCACACGTACACTGTGCGTGTGTTGTGTGTGTTCGCCCTCAGTGACCCTCGGTGACTTGGAGCACCTGCTGAGCTCAGCGAATTCCAATCCCAAGTCCCAGTCCCAGTCATTGCGATAGCATCTTTACTTCAAAACAGGCTAGTTGAAAAAGTGGATTTTTTGTTCCCCCCCAGCAATATTTGTAACTCTCTTTGTGAGTAACCCCCTCCCCCCCACCATTTGCACAGTCTGGGATCCACACACACGCTGTATACAGTGTACGTGTGCATAACGCGCCACAAGAGAGCAACCCACCACCAGCAGCAACATCAACGGCACAGCAGCAACATCGGCGCATGTCCGCGCTCTCTTTCGTGTCACACGGACAGGGACGGACAGGAAGACACACACACACACAGTCGCAGGATGGCGCCGCTGCCTTTTGTTGGCCTCTTGACTCTTAAGGCGAGACAGGGAGAGCGAGAGAACGCCACCGCTTCTGGTTCTGTGTTGTCGGTGTGCCTGTGCCAGCGATATGTTGTCGCCGTGCGTTGCTGCTTGTCAGTGTAGATTTGTGCTTCGCTCTGTTCGGTTGGAAGGCGCGCGGGCGTCCAGCAGCAACAGCAACAACAGCAACAACAACAGCAGCAACACCCAAGACAAGCGGCCCTGCAACTTCGTCGAGGACTGGGACTTGAGCGATTTTAAACTCGCCGTCCATTCAGCTTAGAGTGTTCCGCTCGCACGGTTCAAAAATACAACTTGAAAATCGAAAAAAAAAAAATAAAAAAATAAAACGTTTTTGGAATCGTAAAAATAAATTAAATGAAAAAGCTAAAATCAAAATCAAAACACCAAGTCCCCCGGCGATGTGAGGAGAAATAATAACATTTTGTTAACTGTTGCAAACATTGCGTTTAATTGTTTGTTTTGGTCGTAAAATCAAATTTTATGACCAGCAACATAAAAAAGCGAGCGCCAGTAGCAGCAGCAACAACAACTACTGCAGGCCTCACAAATAATAAACTATTTATGATAATTATAAAAAAAGAAAATAATAACAAAGGCGAGACAAGAAAAAATAAAGTGAAGAGAAAACTTTAACTGAAAACGGGAAAATTTGAAAATTTTTGAAAATTGGAATAACCAACTGAAAACTGAAAACTGAAAAAAGCCAATTTGAAAATATTGCGTGAGTTTCTGGCGACCGCAAACACCCTGTGAAACCGAAACTGATTCGATCCCCTGTGCAACAACAAAGTGACTCTCTTCGCCCGCTCTTTAGGCTGTGTGCGTGTGTGCGTAAGTCGGCGTGTGCGTGTGACCGCTGGCAGACGTCTGTGTGCGTGTGCGGTACGCAACTAAAAAGGGCAGCAAAACTTTACGCAGCTTTGGATATTAACAAAAACTTGAAAACAGAGCCGATAAAAAATATAACAGAAATTAAATTGTTAAAAAGGCGTCAAGTGGGGGAGTGAGAGAAAGACAGAGACAGAGACAGAAACAGAGGTCGGTGGGTCGAGGCGATCGACCGCACTGCACCGCCTTAACCCTCGCCGCCGCAGTTCGAGTGCAACGCGTCCAAGATAACCGTAAATATTCCACCCCTCCCCCAGACCCCAACCATCCCGCTGGCGTGCGCTCTCTACGACCCCCACGATGTCTCGGCAGTCGGGTCGCACGCCGCTGCCGGGGCGTGGTGGGGGCATCACACACACACCCACTCCCACGTACCCACCGCCCACCCGCATCCGCATCCGCATCCCCAGGCGCATCCCTCGCTACCCGCCATGCAGCAACACCACCTGCAACAGCAGCAGCAGCAGCAACAGCAGCAGCAGCAGCAGCAGGAGCAACAGCATCTGCAGGAGCAGCAGCATCTGCAGCAACTGCACCACCATGCGCACCATCACCTGCCTCAGCCTCTGCACACCACCAGCCATCACCACAGCGCGCATCCCCACCTGCAGCAGCAGCAGCAACAACAGCAACAGCAGCAGCAGCAGCAGCAACATGCAGTCGTCGCCTCCTCGCCATCCTCGGTACTCCAGCAACAGCAACAGCAATCGACTCCCACCACACATTCCACGCCCACGCATGCGGTCATGTACGAGGATCCTCCGCCTGTGCCAATTGTCGCCGTGCAGCAGCAACATCTCCCCGCTCCGCAGCAGCAACAACAGCAGCAGCAGCAACACCAACAGCAGCAGCAGCAGCAACAGCTGGCGACAACACCGGTGGCCGGCGCCCTTAGTCCCGCCCAAACACCCACTGGACCCTCCGCCCAACAACAACAACAGCAGCAACATCTCACTTCGCCCCACCACCAGCAACTGCCGCAGCAACAACAGACCCCAAATAGTGTTGTCAGTGGCGCCTCCGCGAATCTCCAGCAGCAGCAACAGCAGCAGCAGAATGCTGCAGTCGCGCCTGGCCAGACACAAATCGTTGCGCCGACAGCGGCGAGTGTTTCTCCCTCCAGTGTTAGTTCTCAGAAGGAAGGTGAGATCCCAAAAATATTGCCAACCATGGGTAAACTGAAGTCTCGTTGGGGATAGTAAAATGTTCCACAAATATTCGACACATATCGACATTCCTATTGGGAACCAAAACTAAACTAAATCTGATAGCTTCTTAAATAAACTTGGAAAAGTTTAATTCTGAACAGACCATCAGCATTTAATTTTTGTGTTCTGCTTGAGAAGTCTTAAAGGGTTTTTCATGACCTCAAATGAAAATTTGTGGACTTATATTGTTCAGAAAATGTTTCTGTTCCTGGTTATAATTAAATTTTTATGTTAACCAACTAGAAACTCTTATAAAAATGTTTACGTATTTTTTGAATGGTTTGAATTTGTTTGGCTATATGTATTATTGGCAAAATGAATTGTAAGTTTTTGTTTTTTTTCGAGCAAAAAAAATCCCAATTTTGATTTTATTTTGCTCTCTGTCTATAAAATTATAAATTGATATGATATTTGATGATAAGGATTTTGATTGATGGTGACGATTATAATTATGATATATTACTTATATTTTCATAATATAAAGAGATAAATAATTAAATTAATTGAAAGAATTAGAAAGCTAGTTGTTAAATTGTTTCCATATTTGTCGAAACGTTTTGACACACTTAAAACTTAGGAAACAATGTTCATACTAAGTGAAATAATGCAACTACGATCAAGTGACCCGTGAATGAGATCGAGTTAAGCAATCATAAATAGTCATAAATAAATGTAAGATTTACCAGACTTTGAATAAACATTAATAGCATCCAATCCGCGCTCTGCCTTTGCTTTCAGACGTTAATATGTCCATCCAATTAGCGCCACTGCACATACCCGCCATCCGGCCGGGTCCGGGATTCGATACGGACGCCTCGGCGGCGGTCAAGCGGCACACGGCCCCCTGGCCCTACAACGATGAGTTCAACCAGTACCACGCCTCTGCGTCACAGTACTACGATCGCAAGCACATGTTCTCCTACTACCCAGACACCCAGTTTCAGGTGAGTGTCCGAGGTCGTCACGCCGACCACCACCCACCACCCACCACCCACCATACCCCTCACACCCCTGTGGCGTAAACAACTCGGTTCCAATCCAACCCCCTTTTCCCCTATTCGCAGCAGTACTGGCCGCCCAACTACCGCACCGACCAGACGACCTCCGCGGCGGCGGTGGCCTACATGAACGATGCGGAGCGCCACGTGAGCGCCGCCGCCCGCCAGTCCGTCGAGGGCACCTCGACGTCCAGCTACGAGCCGCCCACCTACTCCTCGCCGGGCGGACTGCGCGGCTATCCCAGCGAGAACTACTCCAGCTCAGGTGAGTCCGACGAAAGTCGGCACATGCACATTTAAGCGCGACGAGGTTGGCACTCGGAAAAAAATGTTCATAATTATTAAGAACTTTAGATTATCTTTTTTATTATAAAATTATTTTCAATTGAGTTCTAAAACACATTTTGATCATGTTTGTATTGATTCCATTTTAATTTAAAAGAATTTTTAAAATTCGAACTGTATTAATTATATTTATTTTCTTGGGTATAAATTTAATGAATAATTTTTTGCCAATTGGTCAGAATTAATAGTTTTAATATTAAATCTTGAGGAGTTATTTTTAAATAATTATATTTAATGCTGCTTTAAATAGTATTGACAATGGTTTCATATTTAAATTATAAATATACATATATAAAGTAATATTTCTTATCTATCAAAAAATACAGTTTAAAAAAAAGTTTGTCAATTTTTCTATGTGCATTTTACGTTCTGCTGTTGTTGTGTTGCTGGTTTTGTCACCGTATCGCTTGGAATGGCGAATTGCGAAACCGGCAAGTTTGCCGTTCAATTAGCGTACTGCAAAACAGCCCATAAATCGATTCTCGCTATTTGGCTAGCGTTACGCCTTAATGTGGGTGTGAAAGTCATTGGAAGTGCATTCTATGGGGGTTGTCCGTTTATGTTCGCTTCTTATCACTAGAAGTTTTCAAACCTTCAAAAAATATCTGTCAACTTTTCATATTTTCCTGGGTATTCCCCAACAGTAAATACAGGTGTTTATCGCGGAATATATCATTAAAGCAGGCATTTCCACGGCCTCTCCAGCCAATTTTACAACGATGATGAAGGTCTGAAAGGAACTTGAAGTATTAGTCAATATGACAACTCATAAATGTTCAAAATTAAAAAGCACTCAAGAGACAAGTATGGCGTAATTTTTAACTTCACCCCAATTTATGTGTATATATGTTTTCGAAAATAATTTTGACCTAATATATTTTGTGGGTAATTAAATAAATAAATTTTAAAATAAATACTTTCAAACTTAAAGGTAAAGGAAAAAAACTATTAAGTGTTAACTAAATAATGCCTTAGATAATTCGATTCAAGCCGCAGATTAAAATATCATTTAAATGAAAATAAATCCAACTTGTCACTTATTTTCTACATTAATTTAATTGCTTCATTTGGGCGGCCAATGAGCGGGAACGAATGTTTTCATTAAACTTACCCACTCGGGTGTGAATGGGCCTCATGCCAATTCGAAGCTCCGCTCCCCGAACCGCACCAATTAAGGGGCCATAAACGCTGAATTGAATAATTTTGTAATAGGCTTATTGCTAAACAATTTCCTTAATTGCTCTATAAACTTAACGATCTGATATTGCACCGAACGCAACCACATCAGCGGACCACCCGTACTTTTTATACAAAGTAAAACACATGTGGCTTAACCCTTTTAATGTTGTGATATTTTAGGAGCTTCCGGTGGATTGTCGGTGGGTGCAGTGGGTCCTTGCACGCCCAACCCAGGACTGCACGAGTGGACCGGCCAGGTGTCCGTCCGGAAAAAGCGGAAGCCGTACTCCAAGTTCCAGACCCTGGAGCTGGAGAAGGAGTTCCTCTTCAATGCGTATGTGTCCAAGCAGAAGCGCTGGGAGTTGGCCAGGAATTTGCAGTTGACCGAGCGACAGGTGAGCGATTGATGAATAGGATGTAGAATAATATGTTTTACACAAAACGAATTTCCCCTCCATCCAGGTCAAAATATGGTTCCAGAATCGGCGCATGAAGAACAAGAAGAACTCGCAGCGCCAGGCCAATCAGCAGAACAACAACAACAACTCGAGCAGCAACCACAACCACTCGCAGGCGACCCAGCAGCACCACAGCAGCCACCACCTGAGCCTCGGCCTGAACATGGGTCATCATGCCACCAAGATGCACCAGTGACCCTTGGACAACAGCAGCGCGGGCGCCATGGGCTTTGCCACCTACTAGCAGTTAGCCAACCCGAGTTCGGGGAACCCCAACTCGAATCCCACCCCAATGTCCGATCCGAACCACCATCATCTGATCAAGAACGAGCTGGCCATGGACTTTCCGTGTTAGCCCCAGCGACTGGATACAGAGACTCCAGCCAGGCCGAGGCCAGTCGGTTAAATGTACAAAGACCAGAGATCTCTAGGATGCAGGATGGGAGTATGCAGCCAGGAGGAGGAGGAGGAGCAGGACGAGGACGAGGAGGATGATGAGTTTCTGCCCAGGAGTGCGCAGGCGTCGCTGGTGTGTGACCGACCGACGTTGATGGAAATGCAGTTAATTATTAAGTCAGTTCTACGGATCGCAGAGATCCACACGCAACACGATAATGCAGCTTAGTTCGGTAGTTGAATATAGATACGAGTAAGATGAAGCAGCAGCAGTAGCAGATGCACTTGAAATTCGCAACTGTACGAAAAAATATATGTATGTACGATTTCTCTCAACGCTCTCATTAACCTAGGCGAGCACTATGAATTTTCCGAACTATAAATTATGAATATGAATATACTTAAACGTCAGTGAATATAACCCCGCATAAATTATGAATACACGCGTTCGAGTAGTAGATTTTACCATAACTATCCATGTAAGAGTGGCCAGAAGGCGGCCGAGTTAGGCAGAGAGAGAGCACTTTGTAGACCCAGCTAAATGTTCTTTAAACAAAACAAATTGTTTAACAATTTTCGGACCCCTCACAGCCCCCGCAAACACCTACACACACTCACACACACACACACACTCACACTCCGCAGTCTAGGATAAATTTTGTCGTGTAATGTTCGTCGTGTCGTGTCCTTTGATACCTTCTAAGTTCCTGTATATAAACTAAGACATCGCGCTGATTTACGGCCGAAGCAAGCACTCGATAACTAAATTAAAACATATATATATATATATTGCGTACCCGCAGAGATATTCAATATGTGTACGATAGGAACTCGAACTCGATTTTAGCAAATGGTTACTCGTAAGTCGCAAATTTTCGATGAGTGTGTGCATGTTTACTCCACAGTTGAAGTCGCTTTCGAATTAAATTAACTCTTAAACCAAGAAAATACAAAACAAAACAACTCGTAAAGCTAAAGCAAGAAAAACTAAAGAGAAGTACACCTTACTGAAGTAAGCGAGTGTGAAAACGACGGAGGGGAGATGTCGAGGCGGAGTAATTAGCATACCGTAACAGCTACTTATATAACTTACACATAGTACATATAGTAATCGTACATATGCATACATATATTTTCATGTGTATCGACGCCGCTTGATCCTGATATTAAGTCTAAGTTTAGTTGTGTTGTGTAATTATCGATTTTGTTAATGTTTTGCCCCGAGCATTATATTATTATGCTAAACCTATACCTACACCTAAACCTATACCTATGCCTATCATTATATGTGTATAATTAGCCTATACATACTTGATGAAGAAATGATTTCACCCACTGCTTTATTCATGTTCTTGTATTATTATTATTTCGAGCCCTCGATAAGTTGTAGTCTAAAGTCGGTTATGTTTATGATTATGTTCGATTATAGTTTGTTTAGTGAATTTTAATCTAGCGTTAGCAATTCTCTTTTTTAAAAAGTTAATTATTGTGAATAAAATACAGCAAGTTGCAGCAGTGCAAAAATATACACACAATTCAAAAGTATCCCAACTATGTACTTCGCGGTTTTATGCTAGCCTCTCTACATTCTACAACATTTTTGATTTATGTTCATGGACATTCGTTCTGATTTTCCACCCATTCCTTCGGTAAGTACACCAAAGAGGAGGATGTTGACACATCGCAAACGACCTCTCACCATCGAATTTATTCATAGACATCCAGATACTCGTACTCGTACAAAACGTAAAGCAAAATACGTATGTACTGCACTTACTCGTAAGCAGATCAGTTCGTAGTCGTCACTCTCGCAGCCAAAAAGAACAAAATAAGCTTTCTGATCATCAAACGAACACTTTCTCAATACCTTACTTTCCTCGTACATTTTTCGTTATTCTCCTTTGTTCTTTGAGTTTTTGTTACACTCTGTTTTTGCCACTGGTATTGTAATACAGCGCTTAAATAAATTAAAACTAGAATTAATAGTCTTGTTTCGGCATATGTCTTAAGATTAAATAAATTATTATGTAACTGTGTTTTCTGAACTTTTCTTAATGTTTAAAAGTATTTGTGATTCCGTGATGTATAGGAAGGTAATTGCATTGACTGATAGAAATGGTAAGAATCCAATCAGCTACTTTTAATTCCGTTTACAGCACCTTCAATCACTGCAACCAATAGGTAATAGACTTTTAATTATATGATGTGTATATGGAGAACAATATTGAATGACTGGCGAAAGCCAAAGTTAAGATTGATTTGTTGTCTAGTTAATGAGTATCATATATCACTTTAAGACATATTTATTGATTGGTAGGTTATGATTTTGTGGTGGTAAAAGCTCAGTATTCCGCGAAAGCTAACTGAAAGTTTTTTGCTTAACTAACTTCAATATACAATGAATATTCATAAAAGTTGGTTTCCGGTTGATGAAGGAATTTTCTTTGACTCAGAATTGTTTTTTGATATTTTTATCAGGTTGCTCATTTATAGTTCTGCCAAAAATAGTCCATAAATTCAATGTCAGTTGGGGACATTTAGATGTAAGAATCTCATTAGATTTATTGATTTATTGAAATGCCCACATTTTTTTCATATTGAAAATGAAAGACTAAACATAAACCTAACATTATTCTACTTATTTAATTTTATTATCCTGACGCCAGTGCGCCAGTCACAATAGATTCACAATTAATTAATTAATACTTATTTAAATAGCTAATTGATTTAATTGATATTATTCCTGTTAAAGCGTGCTTTATTAGGGAACAAATAAGTAAGAGTACGTTTGCTTTTTTTATTTAAAACAGATTAGGGCCACCTACCATCTCAAGTTTTTCCACTTTTACGCCCGCAATTCGTGAAACTCTGTCCTGGCAGTTTTCGACATGCTTGAGTTATTGTAGAGTGACTTCGGTAATTTCTATCGACAAATACAGATATTTTCTTAATCTAACCACGATTTTAGATGTTATTGAGAAAAATTTGGCTTTTTCGATAGATGTCATCGCTCTTAGCCTGAAGTGATGACGCAGCAGTTCGACAGATGGCGCCACATAAAAACCGATTGCTTGGGTTTCGCAATTGAGGGAATCTTACATTTGAAATTGATGATCTTTGTAACGGGTATCTAATAGTCGGGACACTCGACTAAAGCGTTCCTTCTTCTGTTTTTCTTCTCCTTTTTTCTTTGAACTACTATGAATGTATTATACAACATTTCTTTAGAAATATTATTTTGATTTTTATTATAGTTGGGAGATAAAAAAAAATAAAAGCCCTAAATAGGCACTAAAATCAATTTTTGGCACAAATATTTTATAGGCTTATTTTTATATAATAATATGTATAATTTTTATTTAAAAGTTAAGCAACAATTGGATCATAACAAAGTAAAGTAACAGGAATTAAACACCACAGTTATTGATTAAGAAGACGCGTTCTCTGTCGGCTTCTTAACCAGAGGTCGTCCTGATGCCTACTCTTCAGTCATCTTCTGGTCGTGCGGCTTGCCAAGGAAACTGCTATGCGATTGCTGTGGGCTCGAAGCCGCTCGATATTTCGGCTTGAATGACTGTTGATCGCTCCCTTACTGAAGGAATGTGAAGATCATTTGTTAGGGGAACATTTTCCACATACTACACATATGGTGAATATTAAACATATGCAGCTCCCGGTTGTTTTTTAAACTTCGACTATTTTCATAGGCTGTAGGATTCATGGCGTAGAAATACAACCAAAACAATTTAAAGCTTAGTTTTAATAAGAGTAATTGGCAATTTCTATCATTTTATTTACTATTGTGGTATCAATTTACCAATTTTATCAATAGTCTAAAATTAATGTAACCATTGTTTCGTTTCTATGACAATTTTTTTTTTGGGTCCACCTTTTTAAAACAAAATTTCTTTGTTGGCGGGCATTAGCCATCTTTTTTTAATTTTAGTTGTTGTAAGTGCTGAAAATTACTTTCAATGTGAATTTATTAGGCACAAGCAATTTTTACCGAAAAATTTGTTGTTGTACTAAAACAGTTTTTTTTTAATTAAACTGAGCAGAATTTCTGGTAGTTTTAATATTAAAACCCTTTCCCCCCATTCCGTTAAATAGCGCCACCCAGCCCTGAATCTGTCATTGGCTAACTCACAAGGTAACTCTCTTTTTTTTTTAAAGCGTTACATTTTTAAATACTTCTTTTTCTCTGTGTACTTATTGGCAATTTTGATTACCGACGTTGATGTCACTTTTGGCATATGTTAATTTTCTTCACTTTAAAGTGTCAAATCTAATTGGTTTGATTTTTTACGATTTTGATGAGGTTACACACTTGAAATTTGTGAAACATTTCTAAATCATTTCGTATCCTAAAAATAAAAATGTTGTAGGTGGAAAGACATGACATTCGATTTATGCAAAGCATTAGTATAAATTAAGATTACTTCTCTACGAACTCTTTGTCTTTTCAATATATGTATAAATAATGGCCATAGCTAATGTGATGCGATGGGATCGAACAAATGGATTCAAAGATGGCTAAAAGTTGTAACTCTAAACTAACAAATCATTATCAAAATCAAATATTTGCATAGATAATTGCCTTCTCTTTCAGTCGTAAAAATAAACCCTGCAATCTCATGTTTGTTTAAATGGTATTCAACCCTGCCAAGGGGTTGGACGAAGTCGATAAATGCAGACATATATATACACGGGGTCTTCGTGCACATACATATGTACCTTCTGACATATAGATATATCTACTTATATAAATTTAAATAAGTTTTCATCGATGCTGAGCTTAGAGGCTTCTGGGGAGGAAAATACCGTAAAATGCACCCTGCTATGTAAACACAGGCATTTCCCCTCTTCGAAGGTTCGCAGATTGCGAGATAAAGTGCCTCGGTTCTGTTCGGTTTCATGCGTTTTTTATGTTATGTACAAGAAGACGCTTTCACCCATCGAACAGCTTTCGTTGGGTTGAGTTTATTTGGGTGGGATTGGGGATGGGTTCGGTGGGTAGTTGCGTCCAACGAAACAAACAACCACCAAACTTTTAGTTTTCGGTGGTGCGAGAATTTTAAAGTAAATCGATTACTTCGCTTATGTATCAAATTTAGCTAACTGATTTAGATATCCTGATATCTCTATCTCTCTCTAGCTCAGTTGGGTTGTCGACTTAAAAGTTATAACTAATTTCTTAGACTTTTCTAAGAGTTGTCTCAGTTCCGTAAAATTGGTTCGATGCATTACTTTGTTTTTAATCTGAAAATATATATATTCTTCTGACAAGTGATCGGCGTAGGACAGATAAAACAAGATGGAAAACTAGTTTTGGAAAGATTATGCTTATATAATTTGTATCATAAATATCATAGTGTTAAAACTTTTCCTAAATTGGAGTCCGCAAGATCCAACTTAAGTACTACCTGCAATAAAAGAATAACACTGGGAAAATTTTAACCGTATAGCTTTCAAACTGAGTGACTAGTTTGGCTAGATCAAAGCGGCTTTTGATAGTGATCAGGAATATTTATACTTAATATGGTCAGTCCCCAGCGGCGAAAATTGTCAGTAATCAGGAGAGAATGGATTAAAGCCTGGTTTACGTAGCTATAGGCATGGCCGCCTTGTAATGCAGGATTTATACAAACTGCATCACACGTATTGGAAAAGCCGAATCGACGGGTCCCATTGTAATTAAATTTACAAATGAAAATACGTATACTGAATTGTAAACTGTAATTTTTACTGGGTGTACTTTCTACCCAATGGGCCACTGCGTAACTTTTAACTTTTTAAACTATATCTAAAACAAAATTGTTATTATTGGAGTTCTGAAGCACAAATCAATTACAACTTCGCTGACTAAAAAAAGAAAATGTAACCAACTATTTGTGTGCTTACAATTTTGTTCAGACCCCAATCACCATTTCGCCGCTGGGACATGTCTTCCTCACTGCATTTGAAATTTTCTGACTGAATTTATAATACTCTTTGCAAGGTATACAAATGAGGTCGTGGGACATACACACTGGTTAAAATGGGCGAAAATAATTAAATACTATTACTAATATTAAACAAATACAAAGGCAATCCATTATGCACACGATTGGGTTCCCAATTAAGCACTCAATTTAGTAGCACTGCCAAGGTAAATTTCACAGCGAGCTGTTCACATAGTGACGATGTGAACCAAGAGTGTGATACAATGGTTTGAATGGATTTATTAAATATCTGTCAAAACATGTTAAACGCTAATGCCCATGGAAAATCAATTAGTTCAGCGGTCTGCACGCTGATATTGAGACATATTTTCTTTAAAGCTTGATAATGATTAAACATTTAAGTTCAAAACAAAAAGTTCACGTATACATCAAGAATGAGGTATGAAAAAAATAAGGAAAAAACTTCTTTTGGCAAGGAAAATACGTGGTTTGGTGCGAAGATAATATATTCATATATATATCACCGTTGCGATTTGAATATTATTATTGTCTTTTCTCAAATTTTAATTGAAAGAATGAACATTTTTAATTAGTAAATCACTTAAGACACAAATAATCTTCCAGTTGATTTTTAACTTTGGCTTAACTAAATTTCCAAGAAATATATTTTCCACCGCATGACTTCTTAACATATAAGTTGGATTAAATGTATTTCTTGACTACATTGAGGGTTAAAACACTTTATACCCGAGGGATCCATGTCGAATTTGCGGCATATGCGGGGTAATGCTAAAAAGTTGTCGCAAGTGCCCGTCGATGGCTGAAAATATGTACCTAATTCAATACGATTCGATCTGGTAATCAAAAGATAAGCGCGCGGAGAACCCCAGACGGGATTTAGAGGCCATTGGGGGTTGAAGAAGTCAGATGCGCAGAATGTCGAAGGAATAACAATCAAATGATTAGAGCGACGGCCCAACAACAACCACCGTGCTGGGAAACTGGAATTCAAAATTGACCCGTCGTCGATGTCGTCAGCCTCGAAACTTTAGCTTTGGCTTTGGTTCAGGTTGGGATTCAGTTTCAAATTCAGCTTCAGCTTTGGATATACGGGTTGAGCGACGGGCCTGGGCCTGGGACTTGTTTCGCACATAAAGATACAAATGTATCTGCGCCAGACAGCAAATGGCGTATATAAAATGATTGGACATGAGTCGATGTACGTATGTACCCCGGAGTGTGTATGTCGGGGCCCCAGTCGGGTGGTTGTTCCGACCGAGCTATGAGGCCGTTGAGCGAAAGGGACGGCAGCTCGGGGCCGAGAGAGAGGCAAGATACACGCGCGTTTTATGACCCGCCGCGTTGCCTTTTGCCGCCGCTTCCCTTGGCTTTTCATCTTTTGGCATTGGGTCTTCGCCTGGCATTCTCATTCTCATTTCCTTGGCGTTCTCGCAAGTGTTGCCATCGCGGCAGCGCTGCCCGGGTTTACGACCTTCTGGTTGGGTTCTTTTCCCGCTTTTCGCTTCTGGGGTCTCTCTGTTCTACGTTCTCCGTTCTCGGTTCTCTATTCCGAGGTCTCTGTTCTCTGTTCTCCGTTCTCCGTTGTCCGTTCTCTGTTTTTGTGCCATGCTCACCTCGCATCCTCACATCCTCGCCGGCATCTCGACAACCACCTCGGCGTATCTGTATCTATGTATCTGCGTATCTGTATCTGCGCCTGTTCGCCGACTGCGCTGCAACCGAGCCGAGCGGCGAACCCAACCGCCTTGTGTCAAAGTGAACAGCAAATATTATTTTTTGGACACTTTGCCATCAGGTCGCCGTCGCGTCGCCCGGAGCTGAAAGACTCTTACTCGTCCTCGTCTTCGTCCTCGTTCTGCTCCCCGTTCGGTGGCCATTGTCCTGCGGAGCTCCTGGAGTTCCAGTGCCCGTTGTCGCATTTGAGGTCCGACTGTGGGTCCCGGAGCCACGGCCTTCGTCTGCGGCGGCAGAGTGCACCAATTGTGTTTAATTGAATCCGACAACAAAAGCCAGAAACGCTGCAAAAGGGACCCCAAAAGTATACCAAAGGCATGGCCAAAGTATAAAAAGAAAATGGAAGATGTGGCTGTAAATCAAGAAGAGCCGGTTCGGGTTCGTTTGTTGCCAAAAATACAAGAATTAATTATAATAATGACAAAGAACAAGCACTTCAACGACCCCACTCCGCGTCCGCATTCGCATTCGCATTCGCATCCGCATCCGCGCGCGTTCGGTTGGCCAATTGTGAATGTGGATTACAAATTCGCGTGTGCGAGCTGAGGAAAGAATATATGGAATATGGAAAAACAAAAGGGAAAAAATGAGTTTACCAGCATTTCCGCCTTGCGGTTTGGCAGCTGAAGGGCCGGTGGAGCTGCTTTTAGACCGGGCTCCTCGAGTGCGCGGGGCGTGACTTCAATTAAAGTGATTTGTGGCCTCCGTTTCTGACATCCGAGACGTAAATAGCGGCCCTGAATTATGGTGCTGCTAAAATATGAATATTGGAACATAGTCCTCGGCCCACCGGCCAAACGCTCGCCAGTCACGCATCCCCACCTGAATCCGCCCCAAAGTTGGCTAATTGATGGGCTTCTAACTAGAGGTAAGTACATCTGGTTCAATTACCTGGTATAATAACAAAGATAATACATTTAAAATTTAATGTAAATGCAGACATGATTTATATATGTGTACGTACATGGGAAAGGCGATAATTAAAATTGCAAGACAAATTTTTGTAATCAAATCTTGTAGCAGATTGGTAAAGATCTGATCAGATGTATAAGTCTCAGGAAGTATAAATATATATATATATATATTGTTTAACCACTTTAATTTTATACACTTAACTGTACATTTACAATAATTAGTTAATCGTTACTGAAAAGAAAACAAAATTGATTTTCATGTTAAAAATACACCCGACGTTTTGCTCTTTCTCCGATATTTTAGTCAAGATTGTAGACTAAATTTCACATGAATAGTTTTATTCCTTATTAAAGATACTTACAACCAAACAAAAAAATAAAAGTTTATTTTTAATAAGTGTGACTTGGAAGTAAAACTATAGACATTATAAAAGTAAAATTATATTTCCAATACTAAATAATATTATCCCTAAACTTGTTTGTGTCATTTCTATACCAAAAGAGTTTAAGACTATAGTCTGAGGCCTTTAATATAAGCCACATAAGTTATATTTTAATTCTTTAATTTATTAATTTACTTAATTTAACGCGCATCTTATTGAGAAATTGTTCATACCCAATAGTTTACAATTGGACAATAGTTTAGTTTCTATGACCATTCTTTTTAGTCCAAATTTAAAAGTGCAATATCTTGACCAATAAGATTTGGTAGTTGTGCTCTTACTGATTGTAGTCTTAAATTAATTTGTTTCAAAATTGCTTTGTTCTACAAGTCCCAGAACATCAGAAATAATATATTAAGTGACTCCTTGCCATGTAAATTATAAGTGATTGTTATATAGATTCCATTGCATTTAAATAAGCATGATAAATTAAAAATTATGCCGGGGAAAAATGATAGGAATGCCGTGAGTGGGTTTCCTACCTAAATCCTTGCAGTTCTACTTTGGGTTCTCAGCTGAAATGAATATATCACCGGCAGTTTTTAGAAGGAGGGCAACATTCAAATGGCGTACAGGTAGAAAACAACGGTTAAAGGGTTCTGCTCTTTCTCAAAGTGATTTATGGAAGTGCGAAAAGAAGCCCGTGGAGAGGGAGCGCAGAGTGACGCAAAATACGGCCAAGATCCGCAGGACGTGGCAGGATTATGCTGATGACAATCCGGTTCGGGTCACTGGCAGACCTCGTTCGAGTCCGTAGAAATCTGTTGTCTTGGCGAAAGCGTGAAGGCGGGTCATTTATGACCACATCATAAACTGTTTACAGCAGCTCGGGCCTCAAAATATTTTGGCCAGAACAATGGGCCGTTCGAGACCGTGGATAATTCCCGGTCGGAGTTCGGACAAACGGGTTGGGTTGAGAAACTAGAGCAGCTCTGCTGGAGGTGGGCGATGATGTAACTGCAACATATGGCACTTCCTGCTATCCAAATCGAAGAGCCAATGAATACATAAAGCCCATAACTGATGACGTGTGGAATGGTGTTCTGTCACAATTTAATTGCCCCTTTTCCCCCCGTCGGCCGGGTGAAAGTCACCCACCCACGAAAAGCGCGTGCTGAGCCCCCTTCGGCAAATGGCGGCGGAAATTAATGGGAATATGCTTTGGAAGAACATAAATGGAGAGACATGTGTACGGTACATGCAGGCAATCGTGTCACCACCGCCTACACTCATTAAAATTCCAGGGGCCCAAGAGCATCCAGGGATGAGGGTTCGGGTTCGGTTCGTATCGGCTGGAGGGTTAGGGTTCGGTTCCCGGGGACCATCTTATCAGTTCCGCGGAACAGGCGGCCCAAAAATAATCTAATTTATTCCGACACTTTCATAAAAAGAGACCAAAACTCTCGGCAACAAAGCAAGACATTATCGCCGCATAATTAATGCCACATGTTGCAATGCGCTGCAGCGAGACAATAAAAAGCCAGTCGGTCGCTCCTTTTGTCCCGGCGGTGGAGCGACATGATGGCGTTGTCGCCTAGGCCGCGGCACCCATGAGATATCATAAAGCCATCCCGCTTTTAATTGCCGCCTAGAACAACTCGGCTCGTTTCCATATTGAGCGCTCCAACGCATTTGCATAAATTTATCCGAATGAAAATCAGCGACGGAAAAGCCTGAAAATCCTGTCCTAAGTTCATTCCTCCGTCCAACAGTTTTCTCCGTCCGCTTTCGCCACCATCTTCGTCGACATTGCGCATGCGCCGCTTTGCCATCGGAGGCCATTGTAAAATGGGCGGAGCCAAGAGCCGTTAGCTCACCACGGTCTCAGTGGCCGAGGTGAGTTTCGGCAACGACCCTTGTTACCTGCGGTGTGGTGAAAAGGAGACAGACTACGCAGGATGCCGAACCCCTAGATATCGGGTGTCCATGACAGTTTTAAGCAGTTCCGAGAATATTTAGAACCCGCATCTCACAATTTCAAATCTTTTGAATTTATTAAATTTCTGTTCTGAAGAATAATTATTTAAAAATAACTAAACAACAAATCCAGCTCAAGGATATTCTCTATTAAGAAACAGTGCATTGTAGTGGGGGTGCAACGGGGAAATGTGTAAATTCACAACATCTGGACGGTACATTCGATTGATAATATTTGGTTATTTACTAAAATTGTTAATGTTCTTGGCGGTAAATATGGAAAACGAACTAGTTACTCGGCTTAAAAAATGGTAACTTGGATTTTGGGCGGATGCGTATAGCAGGGAGATGGAAGCGTTTCGGCCTATTAGCAGTAAATGTTAAAAATAGTTAAAATTTATTTTCTCAGTTAAGAAAATACTTGAATATTACTTACCACAAAGACTTCAAATTCACAGTAAAATTGGTCTATTAATGTTAACACAAAGTTCATCACAAAACAGGTTAAACAGGTTTATAGGGGCGAAATACTGGTATCAAACGAAAAAACAAAATGTTTTCACACTTATTTTACAGAAAGTTCAAGAGAACGCAAACTTAACAAAATACATGTCCTTGATGCTACTAAAAGTAACTTATATTCTGCTTAAATTAACTGCTAACACTACTGTACTGTAATATAAAAGTTGGTAACGAAAAAATCATGATGAATGAAATATTTACCTATCAACATGATATATCCGATAAACAACATACAATGCATTTAACTAAGTATAACTGTTCATTTTTGTTAATGCAACAAGCAACACATACTAAATATACAAAATGTATTCTTGTTTTTAAAATGTGGCTAGTTATTGTTAATTTAAATTTTTTACCTCAGGTGTAGTTGTGATTTACAAATAGGTGCTCAGGAAAATTCATGAAATGGCCGTTTTGGTTATAAATTAAATATTGGGCTCAAAATTCAATTGCAACAGAAGCATGAATCTTAAAAATTAACGAAAGGATAACGGCATTTTTAAATTTTTCTTAAAAAAAACATTTCCAAAACTTTTTTACAATTTTTTTTAAGGTTGTAAGAAGAAATCTTGCATTAAATACTACTTAAATACTAATTTTGTCTAAAAAAATGAATTGATGTGAGTATTCGTGAATATTTATTTAAGGGGTTGTATGGAGTTAGAAAGTCTTAAAAAAGAGAATTTTGCACATATTAAGGTTTCTTTAAACTGTATTTTAAGCCGAAGTATCAGTAAACATATTTATTTGGAAAGCTGATGTCCGGCAGCTTCTCTCAAAAAAGAAGAAATAAAAATATTATCGGTGAGAAAAATTGTTGGATAAATTACTAATTGATTAATACTATACTATACTATAATACTAATTACATATTTATTGTTATTCCTATTTTAAGTCCATACTTTTTGTTGTTGTGTAACAGTTTTATAGAAATCTTATAAAAAATAGTAGTGTTTGCCTTTTATCGATACAAAAACTACGTTTTACACGGATATTGATTTGATATTTTCTTACAAAATATTTAAAATTATGTTTGTAATTTAATTTGCAAAATAACGGGCCTTAACAAACAATCGAAGTTTGTCTACGCGCTTTTTACGCACATGCCCACCCCGCGGAGCGACATCTCGTGTTGGTGTTTGACTTCCTAGTTCCGCATTTCCAGAGCCAGATGGCGCTGCAGGCGAGGCGACGGGGAACTGGAAGTTCTCTTTTTCTCTTTCTGGGGAGTCAGAGAATCGCACTCTTCGCCTGCTCACTCACACAATAGCAGCTCGGTTTTTGCCGCAGTGTGGGTAAGTCTGATTTGAATGTGTTCGTGCTGGCTGACGTTGGCGTTGACGCTGGATTTCTGCTTTCTGAGCAGAAAAATGCTGTCAAAAACATTCCGAAACAGTATTCGAAATATTGATGAAAACCCATTCCCTCTCCCAGACCAACTAGAATTGGACAAACAGATTCCCAGTTGGAAGCCTAATGAGTTCACATATTTATAATCCTTCATATATCTTCTTGTTTAAAATAATTTATGGAACCAATGTCCACAGCTCACATCCATTTCACAAATTAAAATTGGTTGCTATCGCTTGTTTTCCAATTGATTTATGGCTCACATAAAAAGTTGAATAGGAAAAACTCGACGAAGGAAAAGCGAACACGTGTGCCAAACTATCAAAGAGAAAGAAAACGTTGACGGGTCAGAAGCATTCTAAATGCGATATTAATTAAACAAATTGTCAGCAGTCGAAGTCGGAAAGGAAAACTATAATTCATGCGGCAATGAAAAGATTTTCTTGAGTGAGACGTTAGGCGTTGGTTCGATGGGAAAGTCAAGTAGCCAATAAATTTGGACGGCCACGGGTCTGGAATCTTAAAACAAGCCAAAGAAGAAAACCAAAACTGATTACAAATGAAAATACCCGATTCAAGTGCATCACTTGTACAAGTAGAATCTTTATGGATTCCGCCGCAGGAATGGGAATTTAAAAATGGAAAACCTCAGCCATGATTCCCGTTTTCCGATACCAAAACTCGTTTGACAAATGGCTTCTTTCGATTGCTGATTACTCAAG